GAGAGAGAGAGAGAGAGAGAGAGAGAGAGAGAGAGAGAGAGAGAGAGAAGAAAGAGATGTTTGGGCAGATAGGCCAGAAATGGACACTATTTTGGTGAGGTAAGAAAACTGAGGAATTGCGGCCAGGCATGAGAAGTGCCATGCTTTATTATCTTCTAGTTATATCTGCATTTTTTACATGCATTCCTTCAAAACCCACTTCCAGCTCAGCTTCAAATATGGAAACGGCAGTGGATCGCATCCACATGGTCTCTGGATGGAGCTGGCTCTGAACCACACCCCCTGGTGGCTCAGAGTCCACCTCATGCCATGCTGATCTCTGGGCTGATCTTCACACAGAGTCCCAAACAGAAGAACAATGTCAGTCCTCCCCTGTGAGCTGAGGAGGTGTCACCCAGCAACAGTGATGCTGGAGGGGAAGCCGGAAGTGGCACCGGCTTTGGCTAAATGGGGACAGTGCCCTCTACAACCAACTGCCAACTCAGAGAAGCAAGCAAACAGGAGCTCAGAAGTCTCCACTATGTTTCTGTCCCGCTGCCCTCAGGAACCACAGCTGTTGGCTCTGAAAGGGGGCGGGGGAGAAAAATCCCTTCAATTAAAGTGGAACATCTGTGAGGAAAGAGCAAAGGGGTACAACGAGCAGTGCGCCTCAGAGGCCTTCTCGAGCAGAGCCTGGGGACAGTAGTCCTTCCTATTGTCCACACTGGGCTCTCCATTTCAGAAAACAATGACCCAACGTCCCCCCGAAACACACCTCCTGGGGTAACCTCAGGGTGAGGTGGCACAGCGCACCCCACTAAAACAGTGCATTTCCACGTGCAAAGATAAGGAAAGAAAAGCAAAGGCAGACCACAACTGGTCCACAGGCCTACTGGGCCATCCAAACCTCAGCCTCCATGACTCTGAGACCAGAAGAGCTAGATGGTGCCCAGCCACCACCACTGACTGCTCAGAAAGGGATCACAGCAGAAGGTCCTGGAATAAGTAGAAGGAGATGAAGAATAAAACTTACAAACATAAAGCAGCCCAGGCTTCCTGATCCAATAGAAACTGTTGGAACTCCTGAGACTGCTCCACTTCAAACTTGGAACAGAACTCATGCCCACAGCTCATCTTTCAGCCAAACCGCAGACAGGCCTTTATGGTGACCAGTAACACTCACTTGTTAGAAAAAGCAGCCAGACAAGATTAAAAGGGCAACACTGCCCCAAGAAGTGGGTAGGCAGGGGTGGGACAGCAGAAGGATGAGAGGAAATGAGACTCACAGGCAGGGAGTGGGAAGACTAAGACAACATGGTGGGTATTGTAACTAACGTGATACAACACAATGGGCACAAATAGTTGGGTGGAAAACGGGTTTGCTTTGTTACTTGTCACAAAAATCCCATCTCATAACCAGCGTAACCAAGCTCGTCAGGTAGGCAGGAGGAACATGAGTTACAGGGCTAGATGTCCACAGGACTGGATGGGGCATGAGGGGACAGAAAACGTGTGACATGGCCACTGAACATCCAGAACAGATGCTGGGAAGAAGCAGCTGGAATCACAAAGTCCAAGGAGCCCCGTGGCACAGAGATTAAAGTGTCCAGCGGCTGATAGGAAAGCCAGCAGTTCAAACCCTGAGCATCTCTGGGGGTGAAAGATAACACCATCCATTCCATAAACATGAAGCTTCTGGAAACTCTGCCCTCCAGGGTCCCTGCAAGTTCTCGTCAACCCCACGGCCGTGGGGAGATGGGATCCCTAAGTCCCATCACTCATCAGTGAGTCAGGCTGGGCTGACCACACTTTGCTGACATGTTGGAAGCTAAGCCGCCGGCATGTCAAATACCAGCTAGGTGACCACTGGTGGACAGGGTCCAGTAGAGCTTCCAGATCAAAGACAGACTAGGAGGAAAGGCCTGGTGGTCCACTTCTGAAGACAAGCCATTGACAATCTCAGGGATCATGGGGGAATACTGCCCCTCGCCTTGGATGTCCCTTCCGGTGGGGCAGCTGCTGGAGGAGGTTTGGTGATTGCAGGGGAGGTCCTCAGAGACAAATGGAAACGCAGACCCCAATGAGAG